CAGCGCCGCGGCCGTGGGGTGGGCGCTCAGGGCACGCAGGCTCCAGGGCCCCACGAAATGGGGCCGTGGGTGGCGGGGCGGCGGGTGAGGGCAGGCCTGGCGCCGCGCTGCGCTGGGGGGGCAGCGGGGAGAGAGGCGCCCCGCCTCGCGCCTGACGCGGCCTTCCCCCTTAGCCGGGGCGCCCGACGGGCCCGGCTGGGGGAGCAGGCGGCGTCCGCGGCCCGGCCGCCGGGCAGCGAGCGGAGCCGTCGTCTTGGGAGGTTGAATTTACTGCGAGGTAAAACAACCTCCGTGACCGCTGAAAGGTCGCAAAGCAAAGAGGAGCCGGGTCGGTTATGCCGGCTCTGGACGTGCTTGTGAGGGGGCGTCGCCTGCCTTGGTGTGTTGCGAGGCGGGGGTCGGAGAAGGCGCTGGGTAGCTGCATCCGTGTACCCGGTTCACACTGCGCTGCTTGGGGCATTTTCATTTGGTCCTGTTAGCTGCGTGGGACACGCTGTCCTGACAGCGGGTTTTGATTTCATTTTTAAGGAAGATGTGTTTTGAATCCTGTTAGACCCGTTCATCGCACTTGAGCCTCTCGGTCTGCTATGCTTTGGAAGCAATCTGATACGTCTAAAGCAGTCCACATTTCCTTGAGACAGATCACACAAATCACTTTTCTCGCCATTTCTTATTTACAGTTATTTCTGACTTGTTGCTTTTGAATGCTGTTGCTTCCTGTCCTTTGACACTGTAACAAGATGCTAATTTCCAGTGCCAAGTCACATACAACAGCTGTGTTCACACAGGGTCTTATTCTGGTACATCAAGCATCAATGAAATAAAATGACTTCTGTTAATCCTTTATTCATGTTCCAGTATTATATATTTGTGCGCGTGTGTGTTTGTACGTGTATATATATAAAATGCATGAACACATACACGTCCACACATTTCTACGTTTTTTCCTGTAGAGAGATTGAGTTGAACTATTTAAAGTTGATAAGGGCTTTCTACTATAGAATTGTTTAAATACCAAACCTTGTTTCCAGGGCGCTTTTGGGATTGGTTTTCTTCCCAGAAATTAAAAATACTATCCAAGGGTTTCATAGTATTCCTGGTAAAACTTTTGAAGGTGTTTTCCACAGAGCACTGCAGGTGTTTTGTTGAGGTATCTCCCTGTAGCATATGGTACAGACATAACTTCACTGAAAATGTCCATCCAGTTACTGCCTTTCCAACAGTATTATATCAAGACTATAAATATAGAAAGTATGATCACAGAAGATGTTTTCAAACTGAAAGATAATTGATTCACTAACTTTTGTCACTTGATTTTAGAAGCCTCTCTATTGCAGAGACAGTAAATGTTATGTCAGCATAATATTAAACTACAAAAGGGAAAATAGTGAAAACAAACTGATAAAGTTCGTTATTAAATTCTTGCATCTTTGTAACTAATGGCTCCTTTGTACAACTAGTGGGGAGTGTCAGTTTTACTTCTTCTTTACAAGGGGTAACAACCAGTTCTGATTAATCTCTGTCCCAGATGTTACATTTTGAGGAGACTAGTACTAGATTTTATCCAGTGGCTCTACTATCCTACACTTTGGACTGACTGTCCCTGGCAGCCTCAGAAGAGAGAAACTGAAATCTGACTCCACTCTGTTTCTTACTAGCACTTAGTGTGAGTGGAGCTGGCAATGAATACAGTAGTTGCTAATAGTCTTGGTTTCAGATGTTCATAGTTTGACAGACTTTATCTGCTTATTTGTCTCAGGCTGAAACCTCTTTTCTCCTTTAAATTTCAGCTAAAACAGCTTTAAAGAATGAGGCGATAACCCTAAAACATCAAACGAAGGTTAGTGATCCATTGTGGTAGCTGCTGACTATGCATATAGCAAGACACAGTCATTACCCTGTATATTTAGGTTTAAGTTGTGACTGGGCTTTGAACATACTATTGCATGAACTGAAAGTTCATTGTTATTACTGAGGGACCTGATGATTTACTTGCACCTTGGAAAAAGTAACTGAGCAACATGGTCATTCCATTAAAAAAAAATAAGATTTTTTTACATAACAATCTCTCCAGTGTAAAATATTTTTGTAGTGGGATTCTCATGTCATATCCAGAAACAGCAAAGCAGCCCTACTGAATGCTTGGAAAGAATCCCACCTTCTGACAGACAAAAGAGCTATACTCGTACTGAAATCCTAAACCTCCTGTCAGCAGTCCATGAGTACAAGACTATGTTCACGTTTTCATTTCAACTGAAGTTTTGGGAGCAGTGGAGGATTAAACTTGGTCATATGCTTGATTTAAGAGTGGACCTCCCTTCAGTGGAACGGTCCAGGTATAGTGGGGCTGTTTTCGTTACCTCTATCACCTTTATCTTTGAAGCAGTATCATGTGGCTTTGTGGTTGTTTGTAAAAGGACACAGTTCTGTCAACCTTAAGGGTAGATAGGATTTACAGATAGGTGGAAACATCCGTACCAGAAAATAAAGCTGTTTAGGACTCGTTCCTTAGGAGTCAGGGCAAGTGGCATGACATAGCATGGCATAGCTTGCATGCACACAGCTGAATTCTTTTGTAGCAGGGTGGCCTTTTCCATACTGCCTACTGGATTTATACAGATTGCAAACCGTTACTGAGCTGTGCTAGCCCCCAGCTTGTACAAGGACATTGCCTGGGAGAGTACTAGTCAGGGGCCCAACCATTCCCAAAAGCATGCCAGCAGTCAGAAATATGGGTAGTCATGTGCCTGCAGTCAGATTCTGCCTTTATCCCATTTAAATCACTAACACAGGCAGTCACAGAGTCAGATGAGGGAGAAAATTTGGCTTGAGCCTGCAGCCAAAGCAGGCATGTGAAAGTACAGAAAAGTGATGGGCTGTGGACCCACAGGGAGTACAGAATGGTCTGTAATAGATTCGTTTACAGTTTGGAGAAGTAAAACCACCCTTGCTATGTAAACTGTGCTTTTAGAAGTGCAGCTCTGAGTGCAATTTAACTGGCTGAAAATGTTATTTGCATTTTAAATACTCATTTATTTGTGTGCTATGACACTGAACAAAAAAATACTATTTGTAAGATGTGCATTCAATAAATTATCTCTCCGATGTTAAAAAAAAAATTGATGTAAAAACGATTAAAAACTGTGGGGTGATGCAGAGCCACTCTCCCTCCATAGTGTAAATGTATTTTTTTTTTAAGTAGCATTTACATATTCATGTTTACAATAAGAGCGACCTGACAGGTCAATCAACCGACAGTTCAGTGTTTGGGCTGAGCATGAGCTGTAAGTTTGGGAACACGGAGTAACAGAATTCTAAAGATAGATGTCCCTTCTCTAACCCACAACACAACTGTTCAGAAATATGTGTATTTACTTGCCATTCCTAATTGTGAAGAGAAGGAGGGAAAAATGTTGTGGGAAATACCCACGTGGAAAGATATTATTGAACTTCATTTAAGAAAAAGTGTCACAACATTTCCTTTTTGGTTCTAAAAGTGGTGGTGTGCCAAGCTGGTTTGAGGGCTGAGGTGAAATTGAAATGCTCGGTGTACAGACTTCTGAGAGGAAATGAGAGAGAGAGAGAAAGAAAGAAAATGAGTGCTGTAGCTACATCCTTCCAGGGTGTCACTGCTTCACAGTTTTGTGGTACTTGATTTACTTTCTTTCTGAAGAGGAGCTGCATATGAAAGACGTAGTTTCTATGGAGCTGGTGTTGGAGGCGTCTGGCACTTTCTTATGGTCATTGAATTGTTACAGAAATAGGTGTTATTTTCAAAGTACAAATGTTGGAAAGCCAGATGATACAAAATGTTCCCCTTAATCACTCCATGGAGAACATTTGCACAGCAAGGGAAAAAGAGCATCAAATTTTGGAAACCAAAAAATGAATTTAGGGAAGGACTCCCTGTGAAAGACAGTCATGACATGAAACAGCTTATGTGTGAGATTTTAGTACAGTATT